GGGGGGGGGGGGCATAGGGGAGGAGGGACGAGGGATGGAAATTAGAGAATAATCGAAAACAATAATTCGCGGAGAAAGGTTCAATAAAAGCAAAACTCACCTTGCAACCATGTCCAATGTGGCTTAGCGATATTATCCTTACCTGCAACAGAAAGGGAAAAACCTGCGTGAAAATCGAGGTAATTTTTCACCCACGCACATTTATCTACGCGCGCGCAAGACTCCACGTCGCACGTTTCGCTTGTCTCGCTGACGAATCGCCCCAATCTCCTCCGATTGGCGATGCTATCGGCGTGATAACGTCGTTGTTCGCGCAGCCAAATTATTACTACGCTAAAAATGAAAAAAAAAAAAAAAGAAAAAACGCCCGGGCGCGGTTGTATCTCACAGCTCGATGGCCCGGCTCGTTTTTCTGGGTATTATGAACTGTCGTAGGGCGAATTATACAATCGTGATAGCGCATTGTTGCCGGTGCATGCGCGCATCTCACGGCCGCGGGCCGCCAAATGATCCAGAACACCATGGGGAATTGGTTCAACGGCGAGGAGGGAGGGAGGGAAGGAGGGCTGGGAGAGAGGGTGGGTGGTGCGAGAGGGGGAGGAATGGGACCGCTGTTATAACTAACCGAACTGATCTACGACCTGTTTAGTAGTTCTATATCAGCGCTACACCATGCTCCGCTACACGCAATCGAATCGCCTCTCCTCTGCCGATAATATCTAACTTAAGGACTGAACCAGGTAACCACCACGCGCTGGCCCGTGCACGCACGCGAGAGAACGCACGGCCGGCATACCACTTTACACGTGAGCAAATATACTCGATATGATCCGGCCTAGCGAGAAGATAATGCCGACGATAGAAGATTGCGGCAATTCAGCACGTGCGGCGCTATCTGCGAGCGCGGAAAAGCGAAAAAAAAAAAAAAAGAGAAATTGCGACTGCTCCGTGCCCGAGCGCTTCTGCATATTCGACCGTAGACAGATCGTTTCATATTTTTCAAAAGTAATTTATATTCGCGCGGTAATGCATATTCGCGACACACGCGCTCCATTGCTGCGTGAAATTTAGTAGCCGGGCGATCGACGTTTTTCATCAGGAGCGCGCGAGATTGTTGTCAAGGTGAAAAACAACAATGGCCGTTAATAGTTTAATCCCGCTCGATTAATACGGGGGGGTGAGGGGGGGGAGAGGGGCGTATATGTGTGTCCTCCTTGGATCTCTGAATATATGTAAATATCTATTTATCGACGTAATAACTCTGTGCTGATTGTGGTTGCCGCGCCGTGAAGGGCAATTAGGGCGAAGAACCCGGCGCCTATCACGTTAGCCAGCGAGGGAATAACACCAAACAAACAACCTATTAAACAGATAACGGGTATCTCGCGTGTCGTGTCTCTTGCGCGCGCACGCTGTCGATATACACATATATTTGTTCATTTAGAACAATCCCCTGACCGGGTCTCGATGTGGCGAGGCTCGCGATGGGATCGTAAATCGGTCGCGAAATCTCATATTCCCATCATATCGCGCAGCGTCTCGTTCTTCCGCCAGTCCAGACGGTCCCAGCCCGATGAATTGATAATCCAAAGGGATTCCGCGTTATTGCTTCCGTACCGGCCGTGCCGGCGAAAATCTGCAGACCGGTGACTTACGACACATTGGCGGTGACTGGTTATTAGATTATTGGCGGTATCGACAGCTCATGCGTTGCCGGTATAGGATTGGAGAGCACAGGTCGGCGGAGAACGGGATTCTGCTGGTGATGGTGTCACCGGAGGTGGCTCTCTCGTACGCACCGCGTACAAATAGACGGGGTTCGAGGGGGTGTGAGGGCGGGGGAGGGTCAACGGGGGAGGGACGGTGGAGGTGCTGCAGTACGGTGAGGCAAAATGGGGAGACCATGATAACGATAACGTACGATCGGCATTAGCTGGCGGCTTGCTGCGGCTGATGGATGCGCTAATTATCAGCAAGCAGGAGTTACAGTGCTTCCGCGTATGCGTCCGTGCGTACGATAACTGTCTGTTTTCGATCAGAACCTATGCGAAAAGTGTCCGACCGGAAAGAGAGGAAAGAGAGCGCTGCCTGTGGAAGCGCGCGCGCGCGCGCGCGCAGGATATTATTTAACAAGCTGCGCACGATATCGGGAATCGCACGCAGGGGTGTTTCGCACGCCGCGGTTGATAGATAATGCACGCATTCCGCGGACGCGCTCAAAAAGCCCCCGGCGTTATGGCAAATATTTCGTGAAATACCGTCGAACGCGTCGGAATCCTAAATTGTTCTCGAGACAATTTTCAGCATCACGCGCTGACCATCGGTCGGAATTACACGAGAATCGGTGCCCCGTAATGAACATCGCGCTTGTTTATTTAATGGGAAATTCGGTGGAGTCATAAAACTCGAAGAAGGGGGTGAAACCTATTAAATTTATGCTTTTGGTTTACCCGGTCTGACGGATCGCAATGCCCGCACGCGTCGACCTCCAATCCCCATCCCCGTATAGCTCAACGATTCCCCTACCCTCAGACTCGCCATCTCTGCCATCTACTACCCTCTACCCACTTCCACTATACAGGTCAACCATCTCATTCCCTCTTGTTCATTTCGGTTCATTCTCCCGGTATTTCTCTCTTGTTCTGTCTCGCTCTCTCCCTCTCCCCCGCCTTCCCCTTCGCTCTCTCACCCTCGCTCTGTCCACCCTCCCGCCCCCCTATCCCACCCCCTTCCCTCTTGCTTTTGCAACTGTGGCGCATCGTGTGCCTGTGTTTATCCTATTGGTAGTCCAATGTAATCCAACGGAGATATATTCTGCTGCCTAGGGGTTTCGGTCGGGGATTCGTGGTTCGCGCTGCGGCGCCCATCGTGACGGACAACGACGCGTCAGCGTGTAAAACGTCGTCGCAATTCTGCGGCCAGACTGCGCGAAATGTGCGTTTTACTGGTTATCGTGCTGAGCTTGATATTAGTATGAGCGCGCGCGGACCGCGGCGGACAGCAGCGCGCTGTTAAACTTGGGACATTATTTTCTCCATTACTCATTTTATCATCGTAAATCATCGCCGCGATAAAACGCAAAGTACGCGAAACGAGGGCACGCGCTATGAAAAATTAACACCCCTCTCCAGCGCGCCGGAGGATCTTATAACGCCTGGTAATCGAAGAATCTGGCGGAGGAAAAACGACCGTCCCATTTTATCCCTTTTGAATCCTTCTAATTACCAAATTTTCCTCGTCCTTAATTTAGTGTTATAATTGCTTCCTACCCCTCACAAGGGTGCGCCTGGTAACACGTCGCGGCTCGTGACTACCACCCCCTGCGATCCCTTATATCCGTCCTCGTCCCCCAATATCTTCTTATACAAGGCTACGCCTTCTACAAACTTTACCCTCCCTCTTCGTTCTTTATCGCGGTCCTTGCAAAGAGGGTGATACATCCTCCCTTAACGTGCATTTAAATGACCTCGATAATTCCATTGATTGGTACTAACCGGCGAGCGATAACATTATATCATTCTGCCATTTTTGTCCCGCGTGAAATTTGTAGATAATACGCGAGAGAATCATGTTACGGCGTGTGTGAATTGCTCACGAGGGTATGTAGTTATTAACCGAGAGCAAAGGGAGAGAAGGAAAGAGAGAGAGAGAGAGAGAGAAAGAGAGAGCTAGAATATATCCAGCGTGTATATATGAGACGAATATCTAATTATAACTTCATCTGTAGGTCAGAAACGCACTTAGTATCGCGAATAATGTGAAAAGACGGTGCTGCACGTGCGGCGCGATCGGTTAGTTGCGCAGTCACGTTTCTGGCCGTTTATGTTTGTGCAACACCGCCACCGTACGTATTGCGAGTACGTAAGCTCGAATCGTTTCTTGTGTCGCCAAACGCGTCCGCCAATAATACACGCAAAACGTTTCTCGTCAAAACACTTGATAGAGTCGGTGCCAATCGCACAAATCCGAATTCCATTCTACTTCGAAGCTTCTGGGGATGCTATATTAGAAAATTTTATGGACGAAATAATAATACCTTTCTCTGTAAAGTTTACATTGTAATAATTGCACAGAATTGCAAATGTTTTTAATGTTTGCGCGATGAAAGCACGCGCGAAAATAAATAGAAGCATTACTCAATATGTGACGAAAGCGAGAAAAATGTTTAAATGTAAAATCTCAAGCTGTCAGTTAGCGTAATATTTGCCTAATCCAAAAGTTCCGTAACTTGTATGCAAAGTGTGGATGCTGCAAACAGAATAATTCTGAAGAACATTGCTGTACTTTCGCGTCTGAATTCAGGAGCTTAAGAATCCGCAAAAGTTTGCAGAGAGATTTCTAACACATGCGTGCGTGGTTAAGTTCTCCGCTGAGTATGGTAAGACAAAGCAACGCACATTTACGCAAGTCCTGTATATACAAGAAATACGTGAAAATACGTGATTAGTGACGATCGTCTCAGCGTTATCAACCATTTTTCGAGTTCGTCGTCCACCTCAGCGTCCCCTTAACACTCTGCAAAAGCAGACACAGCACATAAATGTAAATCGCGCGAAGACTATTATTATAAAAAAAAGTTTCGATATCGTTCTCCTTAAACTTCTGCGGGCGTTACTTGCGTTATGTAGAAACTCGCTGCGCGAACCTATCCTATCTCCATGGCTCGCTCTGCGTTGAAATAAGTATGCCGAAACTCGGGATATATTTTTGTCTGCCGGCCGAACTTTCAGCCGTACCATCGTGGATTCGGTTGCGCGCTTTGGTTTACACTATACGCCGCGGATATACGACGGCCGACAGCGAAAGAAACGGAACCATCGGTGATCCATTGGTGAATTCCGAGCCGGAATGGAGGCGGCATGTTGAATAGCAACCGCGCGCTTCTCCGCGCGTACATGCTATGTGGCAGCGGAGTTAGAATAAAGTTGCGTTTACCTAGTCTTCTATGTAGCGTAAAGCATCCAGCCACGCATAATACACCGCGACGCTACGGCGATATTACGTCGAATGGCGTATCTAGAAGTTGCGGTACATAACCCCCGCACGAACGCCGCGTGTGTTTTAAATGCGCGCGAGAATACATGCGCGATAAGCTGTGTGCCAAAATTATGTCGACTCTTAATATCTTTAATGGCCCGCAAT